ATCAATAAAGACAGATTTTATTTAAGTACTTGAGTTTATAAGATAGTTATGGGATCTTTGGCCTAGCAAATTCCATATCGATGTCAACTGAAATATATATTCTTTTATAATTAAAAAACTAAATAAAATAATATTTGAACATCAAAAAATGTACTAATAACTTATATAAAAAACACATTTAGTTTTTATCAATCATTTATCATGTAGACCAAAAAAATATTTATCTAATAATTTTAATTTTGGTGTACGAAAGCGAAAAAAGCATTTGAGTTTGATAGATTAATATATTCAGTGCAGTAATTTCCGTTTTTGTGCTATTTTACGCAAGCATATAGACATGTCCGTACGTATTTTACTTAGACATTTCTATTTCCTAATTTGCTCCTTGGCTCAACTAGCCCCGCTCTCTACCCTACGTAATATCAAAAGTTAATTAATAATTACAAATTCGATCGAAGCATTATGTATCTCAGTTAACGCTAAATATTTCTGAAATATTCATAAAATATTTTTAAAATCCTAAAATAATATTTCAAGATTATTTCGGTATATTTCAAAATATTTACAGAATGTCAGAACAATAAATTCAAATAATCGTTAAATATTTCATGTATATTCATATATATCGTTACACATTCGGAGAATGTTCCATATATATTCCACAAGATTATAACTTTCCCAAAAATTCCAGGTCCTGCAGAATTCATTTTTAAACAAAATTGTACTGTCAAAAACACATTTCATTTATTTTCACCTTGGAATCCAATTTTAGAGGCTCGCTTTACAGGCAAAATGTTACACTTTATATTCTTTCCCATTATGATTCTTATTTACGAGTTAATGCAGCTTTGCTACATCCATCTGTCAGCGGGAATATGCACTGCTCGCAAATGAGTGATTTTAATGATGTATACAAGAAACGTTCATATAATCATCCAAATATTTCATTATTATTTCCTGTTCTATTCTGGAATATAGGAACACAAATTGATTTTATGAATATTTAGCTGGGACAGTAATAGGAACAAAATAATGATACTAATATCTTTATTGAAGCGTATAAATAATAAAAACTATGATTTATTTAAAAAAATAACTTGAAAGAATAAATTGTTTGTTTTAACTGACTATGATAAATTCGACATATGAAAAACAGAAAAAAATGTTTAAAAATTTTTTAATGTTACGATAGTACAAGTAGCCAATTTCGAAGTGTCATTTTTAAAATTGATGCATCGGATTGGTTGACGCAATAAACTTACGACTCAACAAACTTACGACATTTTGCGTCTCATGTAGATTGAATAGATGTTTGCAGTAGATGTTTGTTATGCAGAATAACTAGAGGAATTATATTAAAAAAAAATAATTTCATTTATAATAAAAAACAAAGTTGACTTTGAAATCTCTGAAGCATTCTCATCTGCACAAATAAATTCAAAGATATTTAAGATAGTAATAGTTATTGAAACACACATAAATGTTTATAGCAAACATTTCCAGTTTTGTTATAAATAATTAATAAAGGATTGAAGAAACACGAATCGACCATTTTAAGGTTTATTTATTCAACGCAAAGTTAGATGCTACAACTTTGGTACAAAAACATAAAATAGTGGCGTTGAGAGGAAACGGTACACTGCGAGCGGATCCTCGAGTCTCCTCGAGCGCGGAGGATGTTGCGCGTATTTTTTTTTTCTTTTTTTGTTTTTCATTTACTTTTCCACTATCAAACGTGAGATCACGTTCCCGCGAATTCTTTCGCACGTAACGTGAGGATCGTCAAAAGGACGCGAAGGAAACGCTTCGAGTTTGACAGGCAACGCGATGGGAAGGTATGGATGAAAAGGGGAGAGAACACGAGCTCGAAGAACCGCGCTCGCCGTCGTACGAAAAGAACAGCCAAATGCTTTCAACGCAATATTATCAATCAAGCATACATAAGCGAGCGACACGCTTCGCGGCGTCCCTCAAAAAAGTAACGTCGAATCTTGCAAAGAATTACTACGTAGTACCTATATATATAACGTCGATCACGAGAAGCGCGACGAGCGAACGATGGGCACGGGGGGTATCCGGCAAGAAAGGCACGAGGATGGCATACATCAATCCTATGAGAATGCTACTGTGTGGACAAAGCAATCGCGAGTGAGAGATGGATGAAGCGATAAGCAAACATGGACGTAAAATTCTCAGTCTTTGAATATTACTCATCATCGTCAACGTTTCTGCGAAAAACATTTAATGTTTAGCCGAAGTTAATCGAAAATCGATTAAACTGATTATCTACATTAAAAATGTGCCTCGTTCATAGCCTCTTTTGCCGGTCACCCCGGACCGCTTACAACATAAACGTTTATCACCTGTGCGACGTCGCGGACGTCCACTTCGCTTAAGACAAAAGTTAAAAACCGCGACCAAGATAGCGCGCGCGGACGTGATCGTATTACTATATACGAATGCATTAATATCATTATCATCATCATTGTTATCATCATTATCGGCCTGTGCCGTATTAGTTCTGGTTAAATTCGGAAGCGATTCAAAGCGACAAAGTTTCGCGGGGGCGAGTTACGTGATTAGAACGTGATACTGTAAATCGTAAAGGGTGATTTGGGACGAGATACGTTAATTACGGTAAGAGCGCGATTGTAACATATACACGAGACACGAGGCTTTTTGCGTAGCCTTTTAAAATCACATCGATGAGTAAAAGTGCGTTGGCGCGTCGAGCCGCAACCAGTTTCGAGTGGCAGAGGGTAGGAATTCCTCTGCGAGAGCAGAAGCGACTCGAACGGACGAAGCACCCTTCAAGTTCTATTCCAACATCTCGAAAATTTTCTCTTTACAGCCTATATGTACGCATTTTTACAATTTTAATCCCAACCCACACTCACAGAAGAAAGACATAGTAACAGCAACTCTATATAGTAGATGAGATAATTATATACAAGTTTTATATTATGTAAAGTTAATGTACGCGCATATAGTTGAATGACTATTTTATAGTCATTGCAATTATAAAATATAAAATAGTTTATTCAACTATGTAGATTCGTTAATTCTACATAATACAAAACCTGTATAGTTACTATATCGCTATATATTTATCTCTGAGTGCAGTGAGTAATAAAAAACGATGGCAGTATCAATTTAGGCCATAAATTGCGGCTTGAATGAAATTGACTTTAAAATGTAATTAGCACCAGAATAATAATATCAAATAAATTTCACAAAATATTTTCTTTCAATCGATGTAATAGATTGGATGAAATGAGTTCATGATAACATCAATAAGAACAATAATTCACAACATACAGTTTGTCCGAGTCTCACACGGTGAGAGTTAAATACACGGGAATATAATTGATACCCACGTGATAGTAATTTTTCGAGAATGCTTCTTGGTCTAGTCGCCCAACTGGTAGTCGGCTCGCGCATCGCCTCGGCAAACAAATGCGACACCTAGAAATAGCTACTTACAATGTATGTATGTATATATAGTTAGTGTATATATAATATATATTTATATTTATATTTGTATATTATGTATATATCTAGAAATAGTATCGTGATAAAAACGAACTATGAGACGCGGCGTCGTGGCCGCGGCGTTGCGCGATGTCGGGCTGGTGCATATGCGAAGAAGCTCAAGAAGCATCCGCTTCGTTCATCGAACCAGCAAAAGATCAATCGTCCGATCGCGGACAGACAGACCATCTTCGATTTGCGTCCTGAGGTATACATTCCGTTAACCAGATCCCGACTTCTCGCCTCGTCGCGAAAATCAACGATCGCCTTCTCGCGACCATCCGTCCGACTTACAAACTATCTACGTTAAATCAACTTCTTTTATTACTCGAATCGCTTACACCTGTAACGATCATCGTCGCGATATCAGTGAATCTTACGTACGGTACGTCGCGTAATTGATCAATAGAAGATTAGCACGAGGAGGGGGAGGGGCGGAATAATTAGGTGTATACAGAGCGGACTAAATATTTATATCATATAGGACGACAGCAAGTGTAGTGTGGCGTATTTTGCGTGCACGCGCCAGCGCGCGTGGCGATCATGTATCGTAATGTTATGAGGCTTTGGCTGGCCTGCCGTGTGTATATCGAAGCGTTCCCTCAATGGCTTGCCGCGTTGTTCTTCCTACGGACAGTCGATCGGTGTTTCGTGTACGGGACTTATCCCCTTTCGAGCGAACAATATAGGAATGTCTCGAATCGATCGCCTAAACGGATTACTACAAGGACGACGACGAAAGACGAAAATGCGACGACGTACCCTATAAATCTTGCTCTCCGCGACGTCGAGACCACGAGACTCAAGATCACCGATCATCAAGGGGAATAAAGGGCAAAAAGGACGAAAAGGGAGCAGGGACAAGGGCGGGGACACAACCTTCGTTACGAAATTATAAATCGTACAGTATATGTATATAGTATATGTGTACGTATGTATCTATATATCGTACGCCCGCAGGGAGCGGCAGTGTGGCACAACCATGACTTAAAAAGCGACCAGCTAATCTCATGTATACGCATATATGTCGTTTATACGTTTCCTTTCTTTCTTTCTTTTTTTTTTCCATTATCCTTCGCAACTCCTGCGAATGTAACCTAGGATTATATCCTGGATATATATTGTATATCAGAAGACCCCCGTTAAATCCATCGTCGCCGAGAGCACCATCGCGGGCCGCGTCTCTGCCGCAACTGAACAGTCCGCGAACACGACTTCCGGCTGTGTTCGCCTTCCTACAGGACAAATCTCTCGCGGCAGTCTCATGAGCCTCCAAGATCTCGTGCACGTTCGACGAATATAGTGCGAGAAGATTCAAATTCCCCTCAGTGTCTCCGATAATCGAAATATTTCGTCATGTGTATGTGTGTGCGGAGATAGACGATTAATTTATAAGTTCGTGTCGTCAAATATACATTTACAAATCATTGAGTCTGATCGCACGTCATCGAGGAAGACACGTATTAAAACGCAGGTCATAGCTTTCTATAGCTGTAGGTATAAAAAAATTTCAGATGTAATCGAACGTGCGCGAGAAATTCCAGGACTCGTAAAAAAGTTACGAACGAAGTATGGCTGACCTCACGAATCGCTGTGCCTCCTTCGCAGGAAGGGCAGTAGATACAGACAGTCTTGAGTTTAGCCTTCTCGAATGCGCATAATCGATTAAACCTATCCAAAAAGATTTATCAAAAACAAGGCAGTTTCAAATTGGCCTTCCCTCAGGATCAAATATAAACGAACGTACCCGAGGAAATACAATGAAAGAGCGGAAGGCCGAGAGAAAGAGAAAAGTTGTGTGATATGGTCGCAAGAGCGAAGGAGGCGATCCTATTTCGCGAGGCGGGCTGCAGAATCCTCGTCCGTAATCATATGATCTCGAGATGATATCAATACGCGTACACCTTACACGGTAATCGAATCTATCTACTCGCGACGACGTTTCTAATTTCTATCGTAAATCGTTGCAAATTGGACCGACGACAGCACCGGGGGAAGAGTTAGCGTGCGCTTCATTTCCGCGTCTCTCAGCTCCTTTTCTCACGGCCGCCGGCTATCGAGAGAGGCGGAAGATCACGGAAGATGACGATTTACAGGTTACACTGCCACAGTATCGTAGGGTGTGAGGAGTCCCCCGTGACCGCCGTGGGGGCCGCCGGTTTGCCGGCCGGGAGCTTCGTTTCTGCAACAGGAGTTTGCGTTTTTTATCCGACGTCGATCGATCATTTTACCAACAATCCCATTCATTCAAAGAGATCTCTTCCGCGCCATTTTTTATTGTATATTCAATAAATTTTAAGCAAATTTTTCATTATATTTATGTTTAGTATTAAAAAATTTGTTCAGCTTCGTCATTCCCTTACTTTAAAAGTGATACAACTAAAAAAACATGATTCTCTAGATGTTATTGTAAATGAGTTAGAATAATTAGATAAACATTACTTTATCAATCATCAAAAAGTTTGAATTAAAATAATTTTATAAAAAATTGTTAAAATTATCAAAACTTAAAAAGGGTAGTTAAAAAAAAATCATCACAACTCAAAAAAGAGTTTAAAAAAATGATCACAATTCAAAAAGGGTAGTTTTTCAATGATCGTGAAAATGACATTTAATCATATTAAAAATATATTCTTTTTGCACAATATTATTCCTTGATTAGTCAATAATTTTCTATTAAATTGAGAAATTGTTTTTCTACTTTTCTGAGAAACTTCATTTTTGTATCACTTTTGAAATAAAAGAACAATATATTAAATGCTATATAAGAAAGAGATCTCTGCAGGCAAATTGTACGAAAACATGCGCTATAACAACTAGCAACGATGATGGCAGTGATAATGCTATGAATAAACAAAATATAATAATGACGATTGTAAACATATCAGTCGTTAGCGACATAAGCAGCTCCGAATAGGATTCGAAAAGCGGTGACAATAGCAACAGCTGCAGTGGAAATACGATCAGCGTATTATCCCTATTGCACATTTTAGCTTTGCATTAGTTACACAACTACATGTTATACATGGCATTATTCATTAAAGCATGCGAACGCATTTCATGTTAGTAAGCATTTTCGATGGAGATTGGGGACTTTGTCATGTCCGAAAGCAATGTTTTGAAAGGTCGTCTACTCTGCTCGTCGCAAAACAAATTGGGTAGCCGAACTTCAATGGGATGATGAAAATCAGTGGAAAAATGATATGACGCATCTCAAAAGCTCTTCACATGTTTTTTAACGTTTGTACATCCTGATTTGATTATGTTTAACGAACTTACGGCTTCCTGAGTAATTAGTCATGAAACAAGAAAAGATCAAACGTTCGTTAAATAGATAAATAGTTGAGTATTCGAGACTCTTCGAAGATCGAACCACCGTGCACTCGATCGTTGTCAATCGACAATTCAATTGCGCACAAATAATCAAGTATATATTAATAGTATAATGAAGATATATAGCGAGGATGCGAATCGAAAGGATTGATCGATAGCGTGATTCTTTAAAGAAAAATTGAAAATCATGGAGGCGAATCGGAATTGCGGTCTATGCCGCGGTGAGCGATCGTGATACATCGCTCGATTCGGAAAATGCCCGTGGGACATTTTGACACGGTACAATACACGGTAATTACAGCTCTCGCGAAAGTAAAATCGCTCGAGACACAGCGGCAGGAACGGTGTAACGCCATTAAAACCGTTCACCGTTAACCAAGCTCACTCGCGCTCTACTGACCTCTCAATGAGTTTACGCATCTCCTCGGTGGTCATGCCGTCCTTGCCGCGAGCATTCACTGAAATAGAAAAACACACGGCACGATTGACACAACGATTAAACTACTACGACAACACGTAACATGCAATTTGTGGAAAAACTATATAAACGATTAGGATTAAAAAAGACAAAAAAAAAAGAAAGAAAAACACATAAGTCCACGGCGAGTCTTCTTCATTCGTGACTCGCCCGCCATGCGATACGTCCGCATAATGAGCCGCCGTACGCCTAATAATGCTTAATGCATAATGAAACGAGCATCAGAAGTAGGATTGAATCAGAACGAGATCATTTCTCGAGAAGAAGCATGTCACTGGACGCAAGATTCGAGCGGGAAAGGCGAATTTTACGACTTCCCGTGTCGGATCAGGTCGAGCTTCATGATCTCCCTCGTTCTCTCCGAGCTGTCGTGAATCTTTCTACTGACCGCCGTAGTTGCGGTTGACAAGCTGATCGCGATCACACTCGGCCTCGCTAATCTCGTTGCTCTCCTTGCTATCATTGAAGCTGGAATTATTCTGATCCTGATGGTTTCTCGGTGGTGGTGGAGGCGGTTCCGGTGAGCCAGAGATGGGAAGGTTGCGAGCCGAGCCTACACTACGACGTCCGACCGATCCGCGAGATCCGTAATGATCGTAAGGTGCACCGTATTGTCCGTACTGTGATCCGTACTGGTCTTCCTCTGGAGCGCAGTTAGCCGGATCGTCATATTCGGGTGAAAAGACATTGTGCGTGCCGCTGCCGCCTCCTTGGGATGGTACTCGAGAGTAGCGACCGTTTTGACGAGGCTGTGAGAAAAATCGATCGCGATTCCAGCGGTAATTATATTAGGGATGTACTGTCTCTATTATATTTTTTTATCTTTTTCTTTATTTTTTATTTTTTTTTTATATATATTTCTTTTCTTTATATATTTCTTTTTTGCATTTTTATGTATATCTTATTGTTGGACGTTTTTTAAGTAACATATTTATTAATAGGGTTTTTTTGAAAGCCTCTTCATTGCCTGTGATTTAATGCCATTTTTACAAATATCGGAAATCTTTTAATATTTATAATATAATAATTTGCGAATATGTTGCTTATTGTTTAAATATGAAAAAGAATTATAAAATACCATAGACTGAGATCCAGAGCGACTATGAGCAGAAGCGTTAGTCGGATGTCCTACGGGTGGTCCCATAGTGCCAGAATGGCCATTTCCTGGATGAGGGAAAGTCTGGAATTGCATAGCTTTGCTCGGATCCATTTCCTCGCGGAACCCCAATAAATGGAACGTAGCGTATGGGCAGATCTCATCCTCCATACCTAAAAATGGACAATCAACCAGGGTAGACTCTGCCACTATAGATGGAAAATCTACGAGACATTGTTGAACAATACAGATTGCTATAAAGATTGCTTCCTGTGTGTAAATTTTTACCTATTAACAACAATTTCTAAATACAGTTTGATTAAGAATGGAATCGAAAAAAATATTTGCAAGCAATACTTACTATTAATTCTACACACTTATATTCAGATTTAAAGATCAAAAAATTCCTTTTGCTCATTTTAATGCTTCTTCTTTCTTCGATTCTCATTCTATTAAATCATTAAACCTTCAAAAATTGATCGTGCAAAATGTATTTAAATAAATTTGAATCCGATCATTTTATCGATTATTTACATAATCTTTGTTATACAACATTATAAAATAATGTTATATTCAAGATTGGAAAGCAACGCGTTACTAATTATTATAACATCGTTAGTAATAGCAACATTATATTTCTTTATTTATAACGAAAATTGTAACAACTGTTTTTTAATATAAACGATAATGATGATAAGTTAAAACTTTTAGAATCAGTAATGAATAACGGTAATACAACATACAAAATATTTTTATAAAGTAACTTTCCTAATTTTTTGCTATAGTCTTCAATTAATTAGATTGTGTTCGAATATTTGCTGACTAAAAGCGTACTAAAAATCTATATGTACGTATAGATTTTTAATACTGGCAGTGAATATCGCAGTCAGTCATTTTAATCATTTTAATTTTAATTATCTATTTGAAATATTCAAAATTCCTCTTATCCATCCTCTAAAAATCCTAAAAATCGACATAACGGACATAGAGACTTCTATCTTAGAAAAGACAATGCATGAATGAATGTAATTCCTTCCTATATGTGGTTCGTGTTATTTGTCGGCGTGCTATGAGCGCAGGCATGCGGAAACATGCAAACATCGAGAAACGAGACGTGCCGTTAAAGTGATGTGAGGTTTCACGAAACGAGAGGGGACTTACGAAGACCGGCTGGTACGAGCCAGCAACATCGCCGGCTCCAGCCTGCGATTATCAGTCTCTAGGGCGATCGGGCGAATGCCAAATGCCCGTTAACCAAAATTGCTATTACCAACCTCTGTGCGAAAGACCATCCGCGCTGCCCATACGTGGTGGTGGTGGTGGGCATCTCCTATTGGGTGCGTAGTGACTCAATTCCTCATACATGTGTCGCCTCGGATCCCACGTCGAGTGACTCCTTAATGAGCCAGTTCCACCTATCGAACACATACTACAAAGGTCGTACGACACGCTGGTGCCTATCAAGATTCGTTCCCGCCAACTATATAATAGCCCTGTTCTCTTTAAAGAGTTTAGAGGATTTGAGCTCTGGGGAGAAGGAACTCTTTATTACTAATAATCGTTTGATTAATACGCAAATCGATACAATCGACACTCGTTAGGCACCAACGGCGGGAAAAGCGCAAACAAGTAGGAACGAACGTTATGTTTCCGCTGGAGGGACATACAAACTCGATAACGTATATAAGAACATTTCAAAGCATGGCGAACGAAAAAAGAAACTGGCATTGATCGTGTATATGGGTTCTGTCTGGCTTGGGGATCTGACACTGACTGGGAACCTATCTTGGGAACCTATGTATGTGCAAATCTCGATGTGTATCCTTTGAGAAAAGATGAAAGAAGGAACTATCGTGCCAATATGACAACAACTAGACAAGTTGAGAAATTGATCTAAAAGGTAAGTGTTGGCAGTTGGGCTTACTTATAACTGTACCTCGCTTGATACGATCACAGGTGTTGTAATTTGAGCCGGGTACAGGTGGAAGCTTGCGATTCGGGGGTGCGATGTATCCCAATTCATCGCGAAGATCAGATCTGCGTTTGTCCAAGGTAGCGCCGCCAACTCCGGTTTGCTGGTAGACTACGTCGTCTGAAATAAAAACGCTCAATCTAATAATTATGGATGTACATTTTGTTACTTCTGATCTTATTATCGATGATTATATTGATTATATATGCCATCACCCACGCTTGTGAAATAAAAGGAAAATGTAGGAAAGAGGAAAATTCTGAAATTTAATATGCGGAAAGGATTTCAAGACTAGGGTGGTTGACGCGTGGACCGATCGTCAGGAAATTATCACGATAATATTATGACAATGCAAAATATAATATTGTTATGATAATATCTATGACTGACGATTGACTTTTCTCGATCAGCTAATTGAGAATATCATTAGTAGCAGTATTCATCGCAATTTCGTATTCATTGCAGTTTCGTTTCCCGATGAACCTCCACCGTTCTTTATGCGACTTAACAAGTAAAAGTAATTAAAAAAAATTTGTATACATTGTCCCTCGTAATATTTCTCGTCGGCTGAAGAGATACCTCGCAGCCGTGTTTGTTCCGGGCCTCGAGTTCTTCTCGAGAGCGCCACGCAAATGACAACTATTCCTACTATTATAACAACGACCGTCGCACCAATTGGCACCACCACGTTTACGTCGAGCCAGGTGGGTAACCATGGGAAATACCGTCTCACATCCGCAGTGTTGTCATTACCGCCATTACGTATGGGAGGTGCGATCGTACCTGTTTAAAGAGGAAAATAGATTTGTGATGATTACCTTTATCGCTACTGTGACCCTTCCCCCTGAGAACGCAGATCACAATGATGGCAACGATTATTACGAGTATGGCTGCTACTACAGGTACGACCAGATTTAAGTTAGCCATGAAAATTTTCATTGGGTCTTCATCGTTGCTACCACTGTTCACGTCCGGCAGCTCGCGGGCCGGTGCAATGGTGCCTGGAACAGAAAACGTTTCGGCGACCGTTCAATCCAGCCACCATTGGCACCGGCTACGAGGCGCCTCTGTGTGTCAGACGACCACCCATACTTACCGCCAGTCACCGTCAAAGTCGCAAATTCATACTCGGCCACGGCGAAACCAGCATTATTGTGAGCCGTAACACGCAAATGGTACCAGCTAGCGGGGTCTAGATCCAATACTACAAAATTACCGCCTGGTTTGACGTTGTTCGAGACTTGATTCCATTCCTGTTGCATTCTGAAGAAAATGCATCTTTAATTATCTTGATATTAGATTGGATGTTCGTATAATTATCCTTTCATCTTACTTCTTCTTGTGTTCAACAACGAAGTACAACATAGGACAGCCACCATCTGACCAGGTGCTCAAGTGTAAAGAGATGCTATTTGTGGATACCTCAATGAATTTCGCCGCTTCGGGGATGATTGGTTTGGAGCCCTTTGTGCGCGTGTTTAGAATGTCTGAAGGATCGCCGATTCCGATTCTGCAAGAAAACTCACATGTGTATGAAATTTCTTATTACAAAAATTTACTACGATTTTAGCAGTAAAGTTACCCATTATAAGCAGTGACATAAATCTGATATCGGGAACCGCACCACAGATTCTCGAGTGTATATTTCTGTGCTGTGGAGCTGATCTGAACGGTTTCCCAATCGCCAAACTCAGGTTTGTAGTGAATCGTATAGCCATGAATCGGTGCATTGTCCGTGGGATGCGGGCGTAATTTCATCGTCAAAGAATTAGTGGTGGTGGCGGTAAGGGTAACTTGCGGTGAGTGCGGAGGAGCTGTAAAAATATAACATTAATTTTAACATAATGGATAATTGAAATTAGTAACTAGAACTTCCATGTGTTGGAATATTTACCGTGGACGACCAACTGATGAGTCACGGTATCATGTCCAAAGGAATTTTCCACGTAACAAGAATATTCTCCAGCGTCCGCGCGATCGACTTCCTTGATGAATAGCGATCCCTCGGGTAATTGTTTCAATCGTTCGGTTGTTTGAAGATTAGCGCCTCGTACCTTCCATGTTACTTCCGGTGCCGGTACACCGACAGTGAGACACGGCAGCTTAACGTCCTCTTTGTATGTTGCAGTGAATTTATCATCAAACGATGCGATCTTGGCCGGTACTATAAGTAAAGTATGAAATACTTACAATACTTTTTAATTTATAACAGACTATGAAAAATTGTAATCGATTCACAAATTTAATTTGTTACAACTAAAATGTGAATTTTAAATGAAGAAATTACCTCGAACACTTGGTCCCAAAGTTACAATCTTGGAAGCTTCACCTTCACCAATATTCGTGCTAGCGGTCACCCAAAATTCATATCTTTGCTGCTTGTCTAATCCAGACGCTTCATGAGTTAGTTGATTTGGTGGTACTTTCTGATTAGTTGGCTCCTCCGCATTGTCCGCTTTCGTATAAACAGTATACTGAGAAATAACTCCATTAGGTTGGCTGGGCGGACGCCATGAGATAAGAATGGATTCCGAAGACATGACTAAAGCTTTGATAGCAATAGGAGCTTCAGGTGCTGAAAGTGGACACATGGAACATATAGTATGTTCAAAAATATGTGCTTTCGCATAATGAACCAATATATTAATATTGATTTCTTAATTACCATCTTGCTCAGTTTGGCAGTGAATTGGTGCAGACTTAACGCCGTCTCCTCCAGATGTAAAAGCCAGAACTTGCATGCTGTAATTGGTATATTTCTTGAGACCGTGCAGGATAGTCTCACTAGAAGATGTAATCTTAGTGTCTTTCGTATTCTCATCGTACCACGTATCGGACGGTCCATAGATGACCTAAAGCAAATATTTAAAGATGCTACTGCAAATGATTTTATGCCTCCCTCTCAAGTCATGTTTTTACTAACTTTGTAACCAGTGATAACGCCATTGGCTGCGCTAAGTGGTGGTGACACCCAGGACACTCTGATAGTTTGTGAAGTAAGAGTTGTGCAAGTAGTGTCATGAGGCGGTTGTTCGGGCACGCCTTCTGCAGTATGTTGCCTACGTTCCTCGCTCATTGGTCCGGAACCGACTTTGTTAAATGCTTGAACGACCACGCCATACTGGGTGTAAGTCTTGAGATTTGCAATCTGTAAGTGATGCTCCTTTATATCTTCCTTGGAGAAGTCGACAGTCTCAAACATGTATGGCTTGTCCGACGACTGTCTGTATCCAACATAGTAGCCGAGAATCTCACCGTTCCAGTCCTCGCGCGGGGGCGGTTTCCACGTTACCTAATGAAATTTACATTTATTACATATATATTCCCAAGCGCTCATACAGCAATAACAATGTTCCAGCAATATTATTACGAATGTTGCTGAAACGCTCTGTATATAGGCTAACAATGTAATTGTTCTACTTACTTTGAGCGTGTGTTGATCGAGAGCATCCACTTTGACAGAAGTTGGTGGGCCAGTAGGTGCTTCTTCTGCGGTGATAATGGTGACCGTGTCAGACGGATCAGATGTGCCAATTTCGTTTTCAGCGACGATTCGAAGATGGTAGGTAGTCGCGGGTCTTAGATTATATACTCCAGCTACGTTTTGTTGCGAGCCAGGTACGAGCACTCGATCAATATCAGTTTCCCAGGAACCCTTGCTGATTTTGTATTCAATAACATATCGTTTAATCGGACTGTTTCCATCATAAGGTGCGGCCCATGATAATTGCACCGAACGTCCTGATTTATCTAACACTTTCAGACCATATGGAACTTCTGGCACCTCTATAATAAATACATAAATTAGATCATGACTTTACATATTTTATTGATTTTTCAAACATGTTATGTATAATTATATGAACCAACCTTGTACGATCATATTAATGCTAGTGTCATCACTACCGAAGGCATTCGTAGCTACGCAAGTGAACAAGGCAGAATCGCTCCTTTCGGTTCGTTTAATGCTCAAGTCGGACAGTACTCCGTTAGCCAAGATTTCTTCACGAATAGTATAACGAGGATCACTCTTTGTATCTAATCTCTTATTGTTCATGTTCCATAAAATACCGATTGGTTTCTCTCCTTGCGCCTCGCATTGCAATACAGCCGGTTCTCCACGACGAGCGGTTTGATTTCTTAATTTAATTTCAAATTGCGGAGGAGCTAAAAAGATATTGCAAAAAGTTGTATAAAACGCAATAGAAATTACAAGATGCAAAACGATTAAACGTGAAATACCTTGAACCGAAATAAGAATGACAGCTGATAAGCCTGATCCAATTCCATTAACAGCCTCACAAAGGTAATAGCCTTCATTTGTCTTTTGTATATTGTTAATAGAGAGAGTGCCATCTTCCACGCTAATGTCAGGGTTGCTCAATTTCAAATCGGTATAATCTCCCGGCGTATCTCCTATAAGATGAAACAAACGTATTATAATAAGTGTATGCAAGTAAAAAGATTTACTATTTGTTAGGCTACGGTTGCTAATGTACTTACCAGCAGCTCTCTTCCATGTGACTTGAGGCTTGGGGAATCCATCGGCTTTGCACTCTACTCGTGCATCGGATCCTTGAGCAAATGCTTTATCGGTAGGTTCCAGGATCCAACGAGGAGGTACTGTTACAGAATAAATAAATTAGTTGCGATGTATTTTTTGCGTACATAAGATTGTGCAGTATCCAGGAGCCAGTCGCTTGAAAACTTGAGTCGTTTGCTTTTTAAAAGTTTCAAAACTTATTTATAATAATAAAATTATTATCTAAAGTTTAATTAATTTAGACAAGTGTAGTAATTACAATAATAGTAGACTATATTATTTGTTTTCTTTAAGAAATATTCTATGAAATTTAAAGAAACAATGAAAATAAATTGAAAAAATGAGTTTTTTGAATTTTGTTAAAATTGAGTGTCTGTATTTAAAATAAGTGAATGAAATTGCTGCTTAGCATTTATTCTTATATAAACATCAGATAATAGAAATAGTTTTAATATTGTTAAATGATGAAGACTCGAATTGTATAGCAATTTTATCTCATGCAAAACAAAACGCGACACGCTCCTGCTACTGCGAATGAATGAAATACACGGCATGCGGGATTCTAAAGTGATTATGCGGGTATCTAATGCATGGAATAGAGAGATAGAAAGTGAAAAAAGAGAGAGGAAGAGAGAGAAAGAAAGAGAGAGAGAGAGAGAGAGAGAGAGAGAAAAGAGATGCATGCAAAAAAGAGACTTTGAAGGAGCTTAACGGCAAGCATGCACGAAGCGCTATCGAATTTGTATTCGAGCACAGTACATCATGCTGTACTGCGTTTACTAATAACATTCGATTACGCTCGTTCATGTATATAAATGCATGCATATTAAGTATCTACGCTACATACGCGCCTACAAAATGAACAAGGCAAAAATGTGTGATGAGAGATGGTCAAGGGTTGAGAAGGGGCGTATTGGGGGAATCCATTCGTGGATATAGGGTTGTGATGAATTGATCGTGGGGTGAATTCTGAGATGTGGTTGGATGGTCGGTTGGTCATCATAGTACAAGGACGCATTTTAGCGCGAATGGGGGGTACGGTGAGGTATAAATCGACACTCGAACGTACACGAGACGAATCACATGCAACTTGCATGTGAAACCTACGCAATCCTGCGATCACAAAAAGTGGCATTTAAATCATTTGTGCTACGGGAATGGCGAACGCGTTCGTGAAAGATGTAGAAACGCGATGAGAAAGGAAATTCGCGAAAGGAAAATACATCCTGTCGCGTTATTTCGCCGCAGGGATGATCGAAGCCAACGTAAAAAGTCGCACAAGAGCGGCTGACGATGAGAGCAAAATAAACGAGGAAAAGGCCAACGGTTCGGCAAAAGCTATTGATTCTCAGAGCTTAAGGAAACTCGGATTGACTCACTCGCTTGAAATATCGACAAATACATAGTAAAGAGGAAATTACAGCGATAAGAAGTAAATATAGACAGAAACAAAAAGAAAGAGAAAGAGAGGCAGAGATAGAAAGTGTGAAAAGAAAGTAGATATAGCGAGAGAAAGAGTGTACGCGCGAGAAAGTCGTCATTGGTGACAAAAGCAACGCTTTTTGTACAAGTTGAGCTGAGCGCGAGCTCCAATCAACTGAAATTCCAGAAAGCTTTCGCCAACAGGGGAAAAAACACATGATCAGCGTCACAGCAACGATGAATAAAATGCAACCAATTAAGCCTGCACTTAAATACTCGCGTGGGACCCGCGTTTTATTTTGTTTTTTTTTTTATTATCATTCCGAAACTTCGCTCAACCATCATTATCAACGTCATGTCATTCTCAGTGCTCCGTTCTTTACTCTGGACCTAACCGTGGACTCGTAAGGTTGCTTCGTGGATCGCCCTGCCCGACGGATTACTAGCGACACACGCGTAATGTCCGCTGTGCTCCGGTGTTACCGGCTCGATCAGTAGTATACTCGTCCGTGGACCGAGTTTCCCGACGCTGAATCCCATGAACTGCGACAATGGTTCGCCCTCGTGGATCCAGGCGATCTCAATTGGCGTGTCGCCTATCGGTACCATGCATGCCAATTGGGCGGCCTGCCCGGCATAGATCGGTCGGTCTCCAAAATCGAACGGATTGATTCGTGGCAGGACTGCAATGGAACAGCAGATAGATCCAAATTCCCATAACGATCTTCATTCCGATTTCTTCGCGATCGACGCGAATGATCGTGGTTGATCGTCTGTCGTCATTTGCGTCCGTTTTCTGTAATACGCTCTTCCGTCCACGAAACTAACGTTGCTTTTTCTCATATTTTTATTCGGCGTGCTTTTTTATTCTCCGTAGATTGCACGAAAAATAATCGATGGCTCTAAACTAATTGCGTTGGAAAAATGCGTTGGAGCTTTGTGGCAGTCAAGTCCTTCGACTAAATCGACTGACTTCTGTAACCGAGCTGTCGAGATCAGATCGGAGATGAGAGAAGGGATGCGGAGTGATAGAGAACGTGCCAAAGAATGAGAGACAGTTCTGGGCCGGGAGAGAATGGGAGACACGGCTCATCTCGTAGTAATCGACGCCTCGTACGTGATTCAAACAGACGTAGGCACAAACTATTCTCGCCTATACGAATTAACTAAATAGTTTAACCTTGTTATAAAGAAGATAACTAGATAATTCTCTATAGATAGAAAGGAGGAATATGCTTCGAGCAATGCAGATTTCCAGACACACATATCTCGTAATATCATTACAATACAGTTAGGACAGACAGATCGGAGATTTTACGACGTACGTGAAGCAGCAGCAAGGGGCGTAAATCTAACATATCGAAACGCTCTACTGATAGATATAAATATATGTGTGTGTGTGTGTGTGTGTGTGTTTGTGTGTGTGTGTGTGTGTGTGTGTTTTGTGTGTGTGTGTGTGTGTGTGTGTGTAACTACAGCCGAATAAAAGGGTAAACGTACCACTGCTTTCCGCTCAAATAGTAACACGCATACAAAACGGTAGTAGTACTCTCACTACGCGTACGCCCGTTAAACACCATCATCATGCCGCGCGGTTTCGCTTTATGTTAAAGAAAATATACGTATATATATATATATAT